GGTATTCCGACATTTGGTCGTGTGTCGACATTTGGCAATCTACTGTACTATGAAATTAAGTGATTTGGCTACACTTCGAAACAAAATGTTGTACACTTACCTACACTTCCTCTACACTTAATTGAAACAATCAATTTTGAAAAAAAATTATTTAACAAAATTATGACTACACAGCCCTAGATCGAAATAACTCATATATTGGGGAATTATAAGGTAGTTTTGGTAAAATTTTTGACTTTTCGTCCCAAAATTGCTTGAAACTTCACCAATAGCTAATTTATGATGATTCATTATAAAAGCCATTCATTTAATGTCGATACACACAAATGACAAAAATTGACATAAAACTTAATTTATCCGAAGTCTCAAACGTTTTTGGGATAAATTTTAGTATGTATTTTTTCCGCTCAAATATTTAAGTCCTTAACATATATCCCTTTGGCATTTGAGTGGAAAAAATACATACTAAAATTTATTTCAAAAACGGTTGAGACTTCGGATAAATTGAGTTTTATGTCAATTTTTGTTCATATTGAGGTTAGTTGTCATTTGTGTGTACAATGGTCACCTTGTGTACTTTTATATGAACTTCTCAACATTTGTCCAAAAAATCAAAAAATTGTATGGGAGGTATGCTGAGTTTTTATCCAAATCGCCCCAAAGCAATTTGTTTAATTTTTTTTTAAGTTTAATTTGAATGTGTCATGAAAAAAGTAGGATTTCATAACGTAAACAAATTCCAAGTACAGTTAGTTGACAAAAAACCGACATTCAATAAGACAACACATTCTCTATACTTTTCCAAATTCACATGAAAATAGTGATTTTGTACGTGTATTGATGAAATATTTATCATATATCTTATCTTATCATGTTTTACTCCAAATGTTTATTTTTACTTTGGTGGTTATTCAAAGATAATTTAACTAAAAACTAACAAAATACCGGACTTATTTCCGCAATACATTTTTTTCAACTTGTATTTCATTCTTATTCTGCTTGAAATGTTTAATTCAAAATGATTGCACTGTCAAGTGAGTTTTTGATCTGAAAATTAGCGCGCATTTCAATTGATAATAACTGATATCAATGGTTGATAAAAACGTACAAGCAATCAATTCTCACCAGGGGGACACTCACGACAAAAAATGTTCAAACCTATTTTAGAATTTTGATGTCCAATTAATGCCATTAAAAAATTGGCGTTGGCATATAAAGAAATAATAGTATAAATCAACATAATTTGATTTGGATCTTTTTGAACTCAGAAAAACGAAATTGCTGAAACTCAGATATTTTTGAGAAAACTATTAAATAAATGGTACCGTTGGCAGTAATTGGTTATTCATTTTTGGCATGTTTAGTTTTTCATTTTTTGGAGGATGTATAGTCGAATGTCCGCACATCTGAAAGTCGAAACTTGGGATTTAAGTACATTTTTGGTACAATTATTTAAACCTAGTCCCAAGTTTCTACTTTCACATGTGCGGACATTCGGCAATACATCTACTTTGGAAGTTTCAAAAAAACTCGCTCACTACTTGCATACCAACGTATCAGCACATTTTTTTTAACGGCACTAATATTGTACAATGAAATTCTAGCTAAGTTTGAAAAAATTCTGTTGTGGATGTCCCCCTGGTGACAATTGACTCGTACAAGCCGTAAAAGATATTGATTGAAGTGTGTGCAAAAATATCGGCTTTGTTTCATAAAATGTTTTCAGTAAAAATTTTCGTTCCGATTAAAAAGCTTTTCGTTTCAGTTAAATTGAACGTTATTGTAGAAGAATCTTTTAGTTATTACCGTAGAGTTTTTAATTAAGAATAAAATAAAATGGCTATTAAAAAACTGTTATTTTTATGTTGTTCATTTTGGGTGGTTTCGTGTGAATTGGATGACCTTGAGGTCGATTTTGACAAATTATTAGTGCATATGGATATTGGCGAATCAAAAAATTGTTCATTTATCGTGCGATCACTAAGTTTAGATATATCAAACATAGAAAAATTCAACACAACGATCAGTGTAGTCAGTAGCAATTCAGATATTGTGCAGGTGTTTACCGAAATTCTTTCATTAAATGAAATTGAGGGAGATGAGTTGAGTGGAATTTTCCAAGCTGATGCCATCGACCTCGGAAGTGTATTTGTTCGTGTGGAATTGAAACAAGGAAATCAAACAAAAATGTCAACCGAACATATGGAAATCAGAGTCTACCGCAAACGTGTATTGCCGATATTCAAATCTGAGTACCTTTTTTTGTATCTTCAATTTGTGCATTATTTATATATTACTCTGAATATATGCCTTGGAGTTGTGTTCGATTTGAAAAAGGCGAAGGAAATTTTCCGAAATCCAATAGTACCAATCTTTGCATACGCGTTTGATTTCATCATACTGCCACTGGTGAGTCATACATTTCGGTTTCATTCGAATGATTCATTTGATTACATCAATTTATTATCGTATCGTAGACAAGCTTTGTGCTCGGCATAATTTACGTACCAAGCATCAAAAGTCACTTATGTATACTTGGCACCGGACTGGCTGTAATGAGCGTGGTTCATGCATCCATTCATTGGACTATTATTTTGGGCGGCAACATTAATTTGTCCATTTTAATAAACATCATAACTAATGTGTCGAGTTTTGGTAAATAAATTACACACTATTTAACTTCACTTTAATTCTCATCAGTAAATGTTTGCTTTCAGTTTTAACCAATTTGTATTTCTATTCGATAAAAATTGCCTACGACTACGACATTGAATACGAAAAGATTCTTGGCTACGACGTCATAAAAAATGTATTTCAATTTGCTATTCCACTTTGCGTTGGATTAACGCTTCGAAACTTTTATCCAACTGCAATTAAATATGCAATGGTAACTCTCAAGTGGTTGTCACCATTTGCAGTTTTCAATTTGCACTTCTTCTACATAGAATTTGATTTGGATATATATGTTTATGGATTATTTAATTGGATGGTAAGATGCACTAAAAAATAATCAATAAATAACGTGATTTGAAAAAAACAACATTTGATTTCAGCAATTTTTGCCGGGACTGCTTTTGGTACTTCTAACCTATTCGGCTGGCTGGTTTTGGGCGGTATCATTAAAACTGAAAAATGAAGACTCCGTAGCCATTGTGGTTGATGCACTCAATAAAAACATATGTTTAGCAATGTTCATTGTACAATCACTTATTCCACCTAACAACGATCAACCAGACGTTTATCCAAGCTCCGTTGTAATAAGTACAACGTTCATTTTACTAATTCATCTTGTGTGGAATAAAATCGGGTTAGTCAAAAAATCAACATTTTATATTATTATCATAATATCAATTCAACTAAATTATTTAATTTGCAGAGAAAAAGCAGCACAAAATCAAAAACAAATGATGGAAACGGAACTTAAACTAATAAAATCATTTAATGACTATTCGTTTAAATATGAACAACTTGAAGTGAATGTTTGAGTTTTCGCTTTGTGTTTAAATCTAAGAATTTAAAGGAAAAAAATAAATCAAAAGAGAACCAGCTTTATTCACTCTGTAAAAATATCAATATATCGGCTGTTTTAAGTTTTAACTTGCAGACTTTAATACAATAATTTAGGTTCTTTTCAGTAAGACACAAATATTTTATAGAGAAATATTCGATTTTAACAACTTTAAAACTACATTTAATAGTTGAATTATATTCTATTGATTCTTTTCTATCGTATGAATAAAGTTATCAAAGATAAGATAACTATGTGTCAATTGATAAATGTTCATTGATAAGGTTTTAATCATAGCTCTAAGCTCTGTTATTCATACAATTTAATGATAAATTGTGATGTATTTTAAGCAAAATTGTTTTTTTATCCCAATTCCCGTGAATTTGTATACCTATACACATAATGAAACAATAATAAAAATAACATAAAATCTCCATATATCTTCAATCGTTGAATTATATTTCAACTAGTTGAATTATACCAACAATTTTGATAGATAACACATGTAGACGTTTAATCAAATAGATTAAAATGTCTCACTAATGAACGACTGAAAAAAGACCGTTCATCTGTTTTTTCAACAACATTGAGCTATTTATGTCATTGGTGACAAAGTCCGAATCAATTTCAATCTGTTAGTGCAATAGTGCATTCTGTTTGTCATTTTTGTCATATTTCTGTCCTCAAAGGTCAGTGTTGATTTGAATTGGAAAAATGTCAAAAGCAGTATGCAAAAACCAATCGTGTTTTAAATGTTATTCGGTTACCATTTGTAAGTCTCTAAAAACAACCGCTTTTTTACTTTTTCGAAATAATTTTTTTTGAATTTTATATCAAAGTTAAGCTACTCTTTCGGTTATTATAAAAATAAATAAAATGTGGTTATTTTGCGGTTGAAATTAGTACGACGGTTTCGAGTTGTTGGACTTTGATATGGTATATTGATTTATTGCTTGTAACAAAAATGATAAAAAACTTATTTGGTTACGGAAAGCGAGGTTTTTGTACAAAAAATGATAAAAATTTCACATAAAACTTACATTTAAAGGCTTAATACCGCTTTGGATAAATATACTTGGTAAAATGATACACTACAATGAAAATTGGCCAAGGACTTTCCGTGTATTTTATTTGAACTACTTTTGTTCATAACACTTCATGATTATCCGACGGTATATGTCCGATGATGATATGAATTCACAATTTGTCGTCGTAAAGATCTATTTTCTTGCTGCAATTTACATCGGATTGCAGTTCAACTATTGGCCACTTCTCATTTTGCCTTTGATTCTTGGACTAAAAGTAAGTAAATATTTATTTGGTCATAAGGATCATTTGTGAATCGTTCTTGGAACATTTAAGCGTCAGTGCAACCGCCAGGTCTTTCACAATATGATTCAAGCGAAAGCTGATTTGGCTTATCTAATATACACTTCAGTAGTTTTAATGATACCCTAGGGGCTTTTATCTTCAAATGTATACGATTTATACTGTAAATAGTGAACTATATTGCAAAATCATCTGTAATACGCGCAAATAAATGTGCATAACTGCATATATTTGGTGTATATTTCATGTATATTTCGTCTATGGCATGTTATTTCATTCTCTTTTGTGCGGATCTTCTTCGATTCTGTGTAGCAATACTGTGTGTGTGTGTACACTGAAGTTTGAAATACATCTTATTCACTGGTATAGGCGAGAAATTTTAATCGTATATATGATGAATAGGACGTGAATATTGTGTATAAATTTGTATGAACGAATGATGAAAGCCCCTAGATGATATCATTTTCTCTCATAATGCATTATGGCCACGTAACTATGGTTTAATGTCATTTAAAATGGATACTCACATGTTATCACAATTTGTGAGAATCAATGACTATCATATCTTCCCGTTATCAAAGCATATATGATAAAATTATCTACAAAATGTGTCATTTCGATGTAAAAGTAAAAATGTATTAATTCGAACAGAAACATTTCTAGGCAAAATCATAATATTCCATTTTTAATTGAAGTGAAAGTTCACTTGCACAGTTCTAAGCAATAAAAAAATCCCATCAAAAGTACCAATTCCCATTTTCCAAGTCGCATAGTACACCAAATAAGAATCGTGTTTCTTTTAAAATAAAAAAAAAATAAAAAAATACAAAAACTTAATTCGAATTTTCTTGGAATCGGATTTTCCATTAAAATAATTCCGATGGCATAATTTATCTTCTTCCGGCGCAAATGCATTTCGCTTGTAAAGTTATGATTGATGAAATGATATTTACAGTTTTCCATTCATATCTTTTCTATCTATGTATCTCCCTCGGTTTCGCTCTCTCTTGTATCGAAATGCATTTGGAGATTGCTTTGAGAGGAGTACCCGGAAAAAAACGGAGACGAAGGAAATAAATAGAAGATCAAATCAAAGTTGCATCATTATCTCTGTTGGCCCAAATATGGTGTGTATGAAAACTTTGATTCCCACTCGCGCTTCGATGATAAATCGATTCCAATGCCAATTGTGCGAGGGAGAAAATTGAAGAGAAAAAAAATTGAAGTATCGTTAGCGTACAATTCATCAGAAAAGTTGTCTAAGTGTTAAAAGCAAACATATGTCAAAATAAAATTTCAACAGCACGAATTGGCCGAGATATTGAATCGTTTTGGCGATATGAGGTTATGTCAAAGTTTTCATTTTGAAACTTTTCACTATATTTTGATGGGTGAAGTGGAAAAACAACGTGATATTATGGATATTGGAAAATCGTCGCTCATTCTTTCTTGCCTTCTCTTGCCGCCACCAAAAAGCCAAAGCAATTTTTAATTTCTGTGCAATGATTTACACTTTTATTCCTTCGAGGGGAATGCACACGCTTGTCGAGAAAGAGAGAGAGAGAAAATAGTCATCGACCGAATCCACAAGGAAACGAGACACTGACAACAACTCAGTATGGAGCACAAAAAATATATAAAATCCAATAAAAAATACGGTTACTTGATCTATTTTCGATGGAAAATAACATTTTCTCAACTTTATGGTGCAGCTGGCTTTCCATCGATGGAAATTGTCATGTTTTTTTTCTTCTTCTCCAATTCGTTCACATGCAACTTTTCTCTCTGCTCAGCATTTCGTCTTGTTACGTTCAATGCTATTTTTTGCACTTCTTTTGTTGCTTTCTTAAAATTGTCGAGAAAAACTATTTCCTTTTCTCATTTGCCACCTAGTGAAAATCTTACGAAAATGTTACCGAACAAAATGTTGCCCAGTGCAGCAGCACACAAGATACTACTACGTGTGAACACATTGTACAAAACTGTACATACACGGATGAGCATTGAACACATCACATAAGGTTGAACATTTTTATCACACAGGCACAAACAACCGATTGCCGAATGAATATGGGAAGCGAGAAAAAGAGAGAGGGAAAGAGAGAGAAAATAGAATAAATGTCGAAAAGAAACACATTTTATGGAGAAAACTTGAAAATAAATTGCAACTTCTGTTCTCGATTGAACGGTTTACAATACTGTCACTGTGGAAAATGTCATCGCATTGGGTGTATGACAAAAGCAGCAATTCGATCGAACCGATAGAACGTGGGCGAGAAAGAGGAAAAGCATCATGAACTTCAAACCGGAAAGCAAGAAAAAATTGACACACAGCAACAGCAAATGAAGAATGAAATTGTCGATGTTCCGAGTCTCGAAATATGGTATACATAAACTTTTTACATTTGCCATGTTTTTTGTTGCTACAAAGAGCAAAACTTTTTGCCCATTTACATTCAGATTTTGTGTGCGCATTTTTCTCGGCCTGATTCACTTTGATATGAAATGCAATTGTGATTGTAATACGAATTCGTGTTCCGATTACAATTTTTCCAACTGATTTTTTTCAAACAAACTATATTGTGATTCATTTTCTCATTGTAAAAACTCGTTTTTCTGCAGCTTTGATGCAAAATTAATTCGGTTTATGAATATATATATTTTTTTTTTCTCGCAAAAATGTTGAATTGCATTTTGCCGAGCTGATAATAATGATGTAAAGCTGAAAAGTCGTTATCTCCGCCTTTCGCGCGGACTGTCAATTTCACAGACCGGAAAACAATAACAAAGCAGTCACGTTGTTGAAAGCTGAAATATAAAAAGCAGGTCATGGGCCGAGAGGAACAGAAAGAGAGACTGAAGAAGAATGAAATAAGAGAACAATCGAAAATTTGTGCGATGCAAATGAAAGTATTATCTTGTCAAAATGTGAATGAAGTAATCCTCCAGGCACCTTTTCCTATATACACCTATATAAATTGATGTTCGTTGGTAAGATTGAAATGTTATTTTATCGCCGTTAGTCTTCATTCATCATGCGTACGTTTTGAAGTGGCGTTAAATTAAAAATGAAAACCTTTTTTCTCTCTTTCCAGTTGCCATCATCGCTCTATGCAATCATCGACCGATCTAGCGAATGCCATTTTAAATGTACCAACCAAAGTCAAAGAAAAATGGAGAAAGAGATTTTAAGCCGGCCGATGAATTCGAATAAGAAAAATGAACGTAAACAAGTATTTAGCAAAGAGAAAAATAAATTTTATCTCAAGAAAGCAGCCTCGTCAACACAAACAAATGCACACGGCTTGTCATGACGAAGGAATGAAAAGCAACACAGGAAAAATCATTCGAAATACCAATAATCCCTTTTTACATTAAAAATAATTCTTTAAATAGAGCAAAATACTGGAAAATTACAGTCATGTACTTTTTGAGATTAAAACTGGCATCGAAGCAACTTGCACAAACGTTTGGAGACGAAAAAGAATGCAGAGCAAAGAGGGAAATGGCATTTTCATGGTGTGTGCGTCGTCATTGTCATCGTGCTTTGCCATCAAACGAATAAAAAGTGTCAGAATACTTGAAATGGGTATGATTTGTGCGAGAGAGCATTTTGTACTTTACTTTCAAAATGAAATACACTTTTGCATGATGTATAAACTGCGCCGAGCGCTATGTCACTGCATCACAAGTACATACGACATGAACATGACACACAATTTGACAACGACCGAAG